CGGACCAATCAGCGTGCGCCTCGAGCGAGTCGGGGGTTAACTGCAGGTGGGGACTCCGATGAATACTCGGACCTCCCATACAGTCTCTACCTACTGCAACGATCGTGTTCGCGATTCAGGACATATGGGTGCCGATCCTTCCCACACCGCGCCACACGACGCAACGTAACGCAACGTAACGCAACGCAACTCTATGAGCACCGCTCGCTGCGTACACTCGACTCGTTTAATTACATGGAATAGGATGACAGCGTCGCGTTCCTGCTTCACCTGATTACACGCTACTTACGCGTGCGGTTATTAATTAACCGATTCCACGCGACCACGGTCCTGTTCCCTTTAGGTCGGAGAATTTTTCGCGGTCGTACAGACCCACGGTTGTCGCTCGAGTTGTCGATACGTAATTGCCGATCGTAAACGTTTTAAGTACAGCATACCAACTGCCGCGCCGCGATCGGCGTTGACACTTTGCCGCGAGAATCTCGCGCGATTTATATGGCAGTACTGACTCTATCGTAAGAGTGGATTGTATTGGAACTAATTATTAATGATTTGATACAGTTATCGTCTAGCTACTGGGTTAGTGAATATCTTTATTCGACATCAATGTTCTTGTTGCGATTGTTTTTATGTAATTTGAAAGCTTCGGTCATCGGTGACCGCAACGGCAGTCAGAGTATCAATAAGTGAATCGCCCTGTAAAAAAACGTTTCGCATCGCAACGCACGGAGTACCGAGAGAAACGTCCCTCGTGAATGAATAAACAAACCCCCGATAGCACGTCATCCTACAATCTAATTTCCGATTACGGCTTCCAACCGTCGGACGTGTTTTCGAAGAAAGTTTCAATCTTGCGAGTATAAATAGCGGCGAACGCTGGGAGATCGATGCGCGGGCCGTTCGGACGGACGTGTCTAATGCGCCCGTGCATCCGTCAAATCGAATCATCCCATTTCCCGGATTAAATTTCTCCGAATCGAAGCGAGCGGCGTCCCGGTTATGCCATCGGGGCTAGAAAAAGGCGCGACCCACCGCCGGCGGAGCGTCGAAAATAAACTCAGCCGTTGTCGGGAGGCCACCGGGATGTTCACGCAACCTTTGAATACCGGTTGCTCGCGGGTCGTAGCCTCGAACTTCCAGGAGTCAAAGTTATTAGGCGTCGGGGCGATACTTTATCGTTGATACCTGGAATTACGGCGGAAACCAGTTCCCTCGGATGACTCACTCCCGGGCCCATCTCGGGCCAATCTCGCCCCGGCCCCGCAAAAATCCTCGCCCGCCATTAGCATATACCTACTTATCGAATTCATTAAGGTACCCGCGATAGCCGCGGAAACACGCTGTACACCCGGTACCTCCCGGGCTCCGCCCCCTTCCATGCAGGAGACGTTTTTAATAAGCGCCCCTCGAACGGGAACGCTCATTTTCAGACGCTAATTGAACTTTTATAGTTATCTCGTTAGTCTCGATTACCGGGGCCACTCGCTCCGTGCCCCGGATCAGCGATCTCTATAATTTTGTGGTTTGTAAGAATTATCGAAGCGTGCAGCTCGACGTGCTCCGCTTTTCCCGTGGAATCCGACGCGTGTAACGACTCGAGCAAAGGCGACTCGGGAAACTATCGTGTATTCGCGGAACGAAGGTAAACGTGATGAAACGAATCCAACGTGGAAGTTTTCGATCGAGTTATTTTACTCTTCGCGTCTTTATCTCGCGGTGCGTCACCGATTTGCGTTGCATTCTTCGCAATACAGGAAACGTTCGAACGATCAACGTTCCGCAGAATGGATTGCGATCGATTCGACTCGGTCGGAGATCGGTAGCGTTGAAATCGACGTAAACGATCCTCCGTGTATGAATCGAGAATCATGGAAAGATCGATGCGACGGATAAGATGCTCGTTGATGCATTAATATCGCGGAGCAGGCTGGAAATAAGTATGATTTGACGAGTGAATGAATTAGACACTATTTGTAACACAGTTAAACTTTAATAACTGTGACAAATGCGCTCTCCGTGTATTGCGAGTGATTTATGCGTCCAGATGTCGACTATTCGACGATTGCTAGCGTCCTATCTGCTCGTGTATATGCGCGTCGCACGAATGTCGACACGTTCGTGTTTCTATTGGTAGTTGTACGTCGGTGGCGGTGGAAATGTAGGAGTGGTGACGTCTATTGGAGAGGGAACGCTCCGGTGGAAGACTCGTGCGTGCTGTTCGAGGATTCATGGACATCGGCTGCTTAATAAAAAATGTGAAATTCATTTGCACGTGACGCGCAGCTGCCTCGGAACTCTGGTTAACGTCTGTATCGGCTCGCGCGAGAGGACCTAAGGAGCCGACAAGAATGAATTCCGCTTCGAGTTCGAATTCCGCGCGAATTCGCGTGTACGCCGAGCCTCTAGTCGAATTTTCTATTGAAACGGGTCGATTTTGCATGATCGTGTTCTGAATGCCGGTTTCGATACGCCGGTAGTCCGATTAACCGAGCCGAGCGTTGAAATTAGCGGAACGCCCGATGTTGGATAAAGTTTACAGTATAATAGTCAATCGGAACGCGCGCTGTAACTCGTAGTTCCGTTTCTAGCGGGATTCCATTCGTATTCGGACACGTATTCATTTACAAACGCCCAGCCGGAGTTAGTTTAACAGGTATTGAGTTTGAGCCGTCACAGCTTTAAATTTTACACGTCATTTGCGCGGCTGCGACCGTGGCCGCACCGCGCTGGACCGTCTACTGCACTGTTCCAAACTCCATGGCTCTATATTAACGCGTAACGAGTTTCAGTTAATCCATCAGCAGCGTTGCAGAGTTCCTTTGACGGGCACGCGATTTCGCGAATTAACTGCGTTATTGGTTCCCCTCGCGCGAAGAAACCGGTGCACTTTTCCGGATGGTAATTGCCGGGTAACCAGTTAATCGAATGAAAATCGCGAATTCGAAAGTACCCGGCCCGCTGGTCACCGTCGGACGTAATGGTCTTCAATCTTCCTGCGAAATGTCTCGGAAAAACGTTCAATTATTACTTGTAGAATGCGATTTTCATGTATCCGCGAGAACGGCCGGCTTCGCGTGTGCTTCGTGCGCCGCGGAACGTGCAATTATTCGCGGTGGAATAACTAATCACTGCCTCTTACTCGGAGTGTAATTTATTTTTCACCGTTTCAACGATTCAGAATTTCCTCTGTTCGCGACCTTTGGTCAACCGACCGAGTCGATCCGCGCGATTCGCTAAATACGTGCGAATAAACCTCGGGATTAATCGTTTCAGGGTAAGAAGCGGACGGTTATTCAGCGATGAGGCATTTCTTTGAACGAGTGGCAGCGCGAAGAAATCCAGCGCTCGTTTCCCGTGTGCAACAGATGGCTTCGCTTATACGGGGAATTAGACGATTTCGATTGAACAAATCACGCCTCAAGGTTCCCCTCGCGTCGGCGCGGTTCAGCGCGACGCTCGTCCCTCGATCTGCCGCGATCCAAGAAACTTCGCGAAACTTTGGCTCAACTACGCGAACGTTCGAAGACCGCAGGTATGTAGAATTGTCTTCGCGGGTGGACTGTAAAATTTTCGAGCGTCGTTAGAACTCTGCAGACGGTTCGCGTCTGGGAAGTTGCGAAGTCGGCCGGTCTTAGGATGCACTCTTATCCTTTAACTTGTTGAGCGTTTCCGGCAAGAAGAAGACGTTAGCTTTAACGCCGTTAAACGATCGGCCGTTATCCTAGATTTCTATAGTATCCTTTCAATCAGTTCCCGAATAAACGTGTCACATTAGAGACGATATCTGACGTTGGATAAGTCTCGGCTTTTAACCGGTTCACTGTGCAATTTAATTACCCGATAAACATCAACATACAGAGTTAAAGGGAAATGACGGAGAATTACATGTTTGCTCGAAGAAATAAGCGATCAGTTGTCGAAAAAGTTAGAATCGTTTTAGGTTGCAAGATAATCAGTAGATCCGTTGAACACGGCTGTTCGGCTCACTCGAAGACAGGTTTCACACGTGAGAAAATCGGCGTGTCGTGGATAATATTTAGCGACAAAAGGGCTAATTTCAGCCGACACGGCGCGCCGAGAACGGAACGCAGTCCGTCGAGCAATTTTCCGGGTATTCATCGCAGCTCCGGTCGGAATAGGGCTGGGTCAATCAGAGACGGCGATTAATCATAGCGATACAACTTAATTATTGTCTACGCCTTCTTTAACGCGAGGCAGCGCGCCGCGCGTTCCGCTGGCTCGCAATTGTTCCTCCTCGACGACGGTGCAGAAAGGAGAATTTATCGTTCCGTCGTCGTATCCCTCGGGATCGAAGGATGGGCGATGCTTTAATGCTTTTAGAGAGCGTACGACAACTGTAAACCGTAGAGTTGTAATGTAATCAAAGGTTCGGCGACGATACGACGATGCTTTATGAAGACTGACTCGCAGGAAACACGGTTATGCAGTTCAGAACTTACAGTCGCGAGCCTCGGGGGCACAGAGGGACTGTATTCCGAATGCATCGGTGTACTCCGCGCTCGGAGATTATTCAATTATCAAAGTCGGTTTATCGGAAAACTCGGCGATTGGACGCTGGACTCGGGGAGCGTGATCGAGGGTACTTTAAGTTGCCACGAAAAAGTTACAGAGCGAAGATGAGACGAGAAGCGCCAGCTAGGTACAATATGATAAGCTTCAACATGGCTTCTCGGGGATGCTCGCTTTCAAGGCGAGACATCCGACGTTAAGTCTCCATCGTGACTATGTCTATTGATTCCATCAGGTTCGCCTATGTATTGGGTCATCCTGTAAATAATCCAGTATTTTGTATTTCTTCTATTTTTTAAAATAAAGACGAACGAAACTTTTGTCAAAGTAATTGTAAGGTGTTGATAGACAATTTATAGATAACGATGGAGTATATGTTACGATTAAAAACAGTTTTGTTGATATTTATTTCTCGAAATAAAAGAAACGCGATGAACCGTGTTATTTATGGGATTGCCCAATACATTCGAAAGTTGCAGTGAAAGACTTTAATTGTGTATAATTCAAAGGGTTAATTTTCGTACGTCGTGCGAGAGAAGAGCGCACAATGATTAATTTCTTTTTAAAAGGACGCGGACCAACGGGGGTTCGCGTCGACACGCGAATTTCGCTGGATCGAAGTCCGGCGAAATCAATCCGGATCGGTTTTTTCCGAGGCCCGGCTCGCCGTTCGCACGTGGGTGGCTGCGAAACCGAGCGCAGTCCCGGGCTGTCTCGACTCGTTCCTTTTTCATTAATTATCTTAGGCAGTTCGTTAGATAGGATCGCGCGATCGAGCAACTTTGACACGCGAAAAGTGGGAACTTTCGGCTTGATGGATTTATGGGGACGCGAGTGGACTCTGTAAACCGTGGCTTTACCCTCGGCCGAGAAACTTCGATTTATATCGGTCCGCCAATGCGCGAGCAGCACGTTTCCTCGAGAAAAGGGAACCTGCCTCTCGAAATTCACGCCGGGGGAAAGTGGAAAAATGTGTTTAATAGGTTCTCAGCAAATACCAGTCTGACCTTTCGATTCCTAATGGATCTACGACACGTCGTGCGGCTTCGACTATCAAAATTCTTATTTATTCCGTGCCGTAGCCTATCTCGAAGCTTCGTGAATTAAAAAAGGAAGCCGCGCGAGGTCCTTTCGCGTAGACAAAATCGCGCGCTCCTTTGTTCCCCGGGCATCTTTCGCCAAGCCGTTATCGTGCATCATTCTTATCAGCCGGAGGGACTTAAATTATGACGACCGGCTGACGAATTGTTATCGCCGTGGCGTCGCGCAAGTGCGCCGCGCTGTCTTTGCCTCCGAAATGCATCTATCTTTCGCCGGGCTAATAAATCGCACGTATAACCGTCCATTTACGCGGGCGCACTTAGGTGTCCTGCAGCCAGTCGGCTCGACGCGACACGAGCGCGCATCTTATCTCGCTAACCATTTTCACGGGACAAGAACTCTCGAGATATTCTTCACGAGAATCGCCGGCGTCCTGTCCGGATAACGTGAAATCCCGCCGTTCGCTGTACCCCGACGTATTTGCCATATTTTATCTAAATCCTGTCCGTAACAAGCGGCATCGCGATAAGGGTATCCCTGTTTCGCGTCCAACCTAAAATGCTACAAATTTCGCGTGGTAACCTTACGCCGCCCCTTGTCCGCTGGACGATATCGGCGTCGATCGCCGGAACAAAGCTGGGCAACCAGTCGCGACCGGGGGAATGCTCGTACCATGAAAATCTCGGGCAATTTAATACTAGAATTAGCAGACAGGACAAAATCGCTCATTCACAATTTCCTCTTTACACAATTATTGAAACGGAACTATAGAAACTGATTTAGCAGGGCTCCAACTGATTTGTAAATCAATAGAAATCGTAATGGATGCACTCTTTGAGTTTTCACAAAAAAATTTTCAAAAGCCAGTTCGACTGCTCTGTAGTGTTAAGATCGTTGAAAGAAAGTTGGAAGTATAGCGGTGATGACACAGCGGCAGGATTAACCTATTTCGTTCTGTTTTATTAGTAAAAACTGTCCCGCCCTTTGCTTAGCTTTTTATGCATGGTGGGATATATTTTAACCCACCTCGACAAGTTGTAGTCACTGATAGTCATACAGTTTAATATTTTATTTAAGGTTTTTCATCCGGTTGGCAATGCTATGACCTAAATAAATGCGTAAATAAGTGGAAGCAAAAATGCATACACGTCAAAACGCATTAGCAAGTTGCCGAGACTGTTATGAATTCTGTGCAGCATGGGTTGTCTTCTTGTTTAAAATCGTGTGCCTCGAAGAGTTAACGCGTATATTACCAGCAATATCTTCAAGAAATGTATATTATTCTTTGTTTCCTTCAAACGTCTGAAAAGTACAAAGTACACCGAAATTCAATCTTGGCCAGGTCGCTATTTCAACAGAAAGGATCTCGCCCGGTGAGCCGTGTTATGAGTTCCGAATTACTCCTCGCGAACCGTCGATTATAATCTACCAGCGAGCGAGCGAGGTCCGTTAACGACCGGGCCGTCGATTAATTCCGCGCTGGACCAACATAGGACGAAGGATAGAATGGAGGAGGTCCGTTCTGGGCAAGACCGTGAGCAGCAAAGTTTGGCGGATCTCGTCGAGCGTTCCTACGGGCGGGTTCATTGACGCTCGCCGAAATTTCCCCGCGTTTCCGGCGCTGTCACTTATCGAGCGTGTAAGCTAGCTGCCGCGTGTCCGCGACGAGTCATCGAAACGACGGGTCCAACGGTTCCCCGTGGGTCGTCTGCGCGCGATATCTCCCGGCAGAGTGGCCGATAAACTGGTCCATCGCGGGGACAAAGGAAGCGACGTTAATTCCCTCATCGGGGGCGGTGAGAGAAACGAACTGCGCGATCGCGCAGAAGTCGTCTTTCTTCTGCCGGCGGGGCACCGTTTGACGAACGCCGTTGCAGATTCCGCGGCGGACGCGCGACGACGCGCGATAAAGCGACAACGGAGATTTACGAGGGGCGTATCTGGAGCGCGGCCGCGACTACGATTCAGCGTTGAAACCTTCGGGAACCGTGCGCCTCGCGATCTCATCTCGAAAATAAATTCGCGGAAGAGTTAATCGAGCCGCCCACGCTTCGAGTTTCGAGCGGAGCGGACCGGGAGGCGGCCGAATATGAGACAGGGCTGCGCCGGCAGATATTTCTGCCGATAAAGGCAGGAAATCCTGGTCGAAAAAAACAGGGGGGATGGCGCTTCGGCGTGGCGCTGCGCGACACGCGCAGAAGCCGGCCGATCGTGGGTGAGGGCCGCGGTATCTCTCGAAAAGGATCACACTCCTGCAGCGCTCGGAACACTGGTCCGCGTGGGCTTTATTCGTTATTGTCGATCGACCGGGCCCTGGCCCACGCGGCGAGCCGTCTTCGTCCTGTCTGCCCCCGCACCTGCGGATCGCCCGCTCCTCCTCGAGCGTCGTCGTCCTTTCGCGCGGAGATCAACTTTTACCGGTAGGAAATTTGTGAAACGTGAGGCGACGCGTGCTCGGTAGAGCTGTGTTCGGTGTCGCATGGGTAGACAGTGACAGGACGCGATAAGTCGTAAAAGGATCGAAGCGATAGTCTCGTCTGAGCGACGATTAATTCTCTTACTTGCCGCTGAACGGTAATGGATGAAATTGCTCTATGATCTCAACGGAATCTTCAATGTTCCCGGAGTACAGGCTAATGTATTCTCTCGGTGGAGCATATTTTCGTACGGTCAGCTTGCGACGCGTTCGGCCAACTGCGTCTGAACGTCTTCAAAGTGAAATTAAGTTTGCAGTTAGCGTCGGGTGTACCGC